CATATGCACCCTTTTTTTGCGGCATTGGGTATAATGAAGGCAAGATGCACCCTCTCTCTCTCTCTCTCTCTCTGCATGCATAACCGCCCCCTCCTAACGTTGCCATACTACCGCGACATATCATCCTAGTAGATGACGTCCTTGTGACACTCGCCCTGATATATTACCACAATCATTGTGTTTATTCAATGATCTGATAATTTATCGTCTTTAGATAAGCTCATGAATACAATATAATTACCTTGATATGTTATATTTGATTTGATAGAGGTATGGAACTGTGACGAAGTTGATGTCTTTAATTTTTGCTGTTACATGTACGCGATGCAGTAAATATGGAATTCTGTTATAATCTTCCATATTATTTATTAGGCCACACTTTTTTATTTTTATGGATGACATCCTCTGGGGACCCCAAAATCGGTGCGAAAAAAAAAAAAAAAACAGTCCAAAAAAAAAAAAAACTGCTTAAGAAAAGTTATGTTTTCAGTACACAGAAACACGTATCAAACTAACAACATGTCTTTATCCATGTTCTCAAAATATTAAAGCATTGTGAATAGGGCCTACTTCGTAGAAAGGTAAAAAGTCATGAATATATATATGCTGCATATTACCAAATCTAATTAAGGTTATTTCATGCATTCTGTTGGTATAGCAATCANTGCTACGAACCGACATATGGCGCGATTTGCAAGATACAGCCACGTACAAACAGTGCCCTGTGGACCAACGATTGGATTTCGAAAGAACATTTTGACAACTCGAGTTTCAAGAAGCAGGCTGAGGCATGGAATAGTAGGTACACGAGACAGCAGAGAAGGTGCCAATTCAAAGCCAGGCAGTTCATGGGTTTTTGGACTCTTAATTCATCCCTCATTTTCCTTTTAAGATAGCCCATGCGTTTATCTTAGGGTAAAAAAAACGAAACTGTACCTGTTTTAACTAGAAAAGCACCTAGAGTTCAGCCAAGGCCGCTCATTTCTCACTATTAACTGATTAACCAATTAATGGATCACCATTAAAATCTAACCAATTTTAGGTCAGCCAACTATAGACCTGTCATGAAAATTTAATCAAAACCCGTTCATAATTTATTTTTGAGTGAGACTGGTAGCTGCCGAACCCAAAAAGAAGGTAAAAAAAGTTCTCAAAATCATAGATTATAATTATCGAGTACATTTTTAATTTGGAAAGCAATGACAATTGTTAGACACTGTATTTGCGTTATGCGTTCGTTAAATTGCGTTATTTGTGCAATGAACATCATTTTGCGGTTAGTCTCCAATCAATCGGGCAAAGACAACGTTGCGTGTATCACCTACATTGAGGAGAACCCAAAACGCAATTCCAAGGATAGGGACATCGAACGGCGTGCAACAGTATTCTTTTGAAAAATGTAGTTTTCGTTATTTCTCTCTCTCTCTCACTCTCTCTCTCTCTCTCTCACGACATGAATACTGTCAGCTTAATGACCGCTGTCTTTCATATGCACCCTTTTTCGCGGCATTGGGTATTATTAAGGCAAGATGCTCTCTCTCTCTCTCTCTCTCTCTCTCTCTCTCTCTCTCTCTCTCTCTCTCTCTGCATGCATAACCGCCCCCTCCTAACGTTGCCATACTACCGTGACATATCATCCTGGTACATGACGTCCTTGTGACACTCGCCCTGATATATTACCACAATCATTGTGTTTATTCAATGATCTGATAATTTATCGTCTTTAGATAAGCTCATGAATACAATATAATTACCTTGATATGTTATATTTGATTTGATAGAGGTATGGAACTGTGACGAAGTTGATGTCTTTAATTTTTGCTGTTACATGTACGCGATGCAGTAAATATGGAATTCTGTTATAATCTTCCATATTATTTATTAACTACTTTCCAGTTGATTCCTGCGCCGCTTTCTTTCCTTTTCTAACTCTACCTCATGCAATCTCTAGCGGCCTTCTCTCTGTTTACATAACACGAAGTTGTATTAGTATCATAAGAGCATGTCAATCAACTCAGTTCCTCTACAAAACACTCCCCTCTCCTTACTGCCTCGTGGCTGTCAATTACCAACGTTACAGAAAGTGCGCGTGTGTGTGTGTGTGTGCGCGCGTGTGTCCTTGGGTGTGTTCTTTTGTTTTTGTGTCAATAGTTGTATTATGTGAAACCATGGAACTGAATGGGACGCCTTGTATACTTGTATGTGATGGTGTCCCTTGTACAGGCGCACAATCAAATAAACGCCACATCTAGCAGTGGGAAGAACTTGGGACCCCCCCCCCCCCCTTTCTCTCTCTCTCTTTCTCTCTCTCTCTCTCCTGTGCATAGAAAGGAAGAGAGCTGTTGTCCTTACGCCTTACTTGCCATATTTCTGTCACCATCTATTGACTCGGTTTACTTCGACTTTGCCTTCTTAATTCTAAATCACCCACTGCGTGGCTAGTGTCAAAAGTGCATCGAACTATTTATCGAAAATGCATCCGGTCACGCAGAAAGCTTTATCGGTTAATAAAGGATGTGGTTCCAATGGACATCCTCATGTCTGCATAGGGTATGTAGCTCTTCAGACTATCCACGATTATATATGTTTAAACTGTACGTGATTAACGTTTTTTATGAATTTTTTTTTCTCTCGCTGCCTAGCTTATATATTTTATTGCATTATCTTTTGTTCGTTATCTCCCTTTTATATGATATATAAGTATTCATTAGTGGAAACTCTGTATTATCAAAGGTAATTGTATGTAAACAAAGAATCAATTATACACGAATGAAATCTATCGTGAAGATAAATTTGATGTTTATCACGTGGCGTCAGGGTTCACACTGATTGCAGCCGATTACTCATTTCCCTTTTCAAGGCAATCTCTTCTATTTTTACTTGTTTCCTGCATATTATGTCATCTCAGTGGCAAGCGACAAAAGTGTACAAAAACTGATTAAATTTTTTCTTTATCTTTTTTTCTGGAAAGAGGGTTATCGTCATTATTGAGGAAGATGCAATTGCGGTTAGATGCATATTTTCCAAGAAAAGAAAAAGTGACATTTTATCAAAAATATGTTTGAAACATTTTTAAAGAACACATAAGATACCCCCCTGTTGGGGGTGTGTGGTTTATTTAAAGAAGAATGTCAAAAATTAAGCATTTTATCGCAGAATATCGAAAATCAGTATGAAATATTCCATTGCCTTAGTGCTTTTAGTTGTCTTCATCGTGTCTATTTTTCTGTGCGCAGATTATCAGGTTTGATTTTTCAAGGTGCAAAAACCGGTCCTTCCTGCGAGGAAACGGACTAGACAGCATAATTCTTGTAAGCATGCCTTACGTGCTTCCTCCGGATCGCATTTACTTCTGGACTCTCGGTTTTCCCGAGAACTAACGTGCACAGCGTTTTAATACGGAGACGCGAACAACATCGCTATTATATGATCTGGCTGGGGCACGCGGCATTGCACGCAGCCGACCCTGAGGTTCAAGGGGTCATGCAAAATGATTTTTGAGTTTGATGCAGATTGCCATAGTAACGCTTTTAACGTCTGCGTTAAATGCAATCGGTGTGGAAACACGTTGGAAGTTGCGTGACAACATGCTGACATTCATATCCGTGTCACCTAAAAGATGACAAAGAAATCAAACTGGTTATTTTCCATTTCGTTGGTTCGTATATGGTAGTAGCTTGGTTATATTAATGATAGTGTACAGCATCCTTTGTTACTACCTGTACATATGCTTTTTAAATTGGGGGGAACTTAATGGAGAATTTTTCTTGTGAGACCTCAGAGAACAGATAAGTGAAAAAGTCCGTACATGGCAATCGGGGGGTCAAAAACTTGAGTATTCTGGCACTGTTTAAGAGCACATTCAGAACAGCGGACTAACATGTCCGCGGATCGAATATGGCCGACCCACTAGAATGCCAGTTTCGTAATTCCCTCGGGGAATCTATTCAGTGTCTAATCAGGAATAAAGGGGCAAGCTTTTCAGTGGGTCGCCATATTTGATCGGCGGATCTGTTAGTACGCTGTTCTGAATGTGTGCTCTATGAAGAGTGTCTGGCCTGAAGTCCTCCATAATTTTTCCATAGCACAGCAGATAACATTGTAAACATCAAGTACGGTATGGAATATATTGGCCTGAAAAAAATCCTTGGACCCGTCAAAGATAAGTTTACCCCCAAAACGCAGGCATTATATCATTCGACAGATTATGAAATTAAAAACACTAAAATTGCTGAAATTAGCAATTTTCATTTATTCATCATTCCGTTAATCATTTGCACTTGGTAACTGAAGTCGTGCAATACCTTGTGAATGCACCGTACCTACGAAGCTAATAACAATAATAATAATAATAATAATAATAATAATAAATCATATTTGAAAGAAATATCAAACGATGGCAAACAAGCCGTTCACGACAATAAAAACACAAGCACACACTGTTAGCTAATCTCGATACTTGAGATTCGATCGTATTGAATGTTAATTTCTGTCTCGCAAGCAACTGCTGCCCGGCCACAACTAAACCTTTATTGCACTAATTGCTTCGAACTTAAGGTTACGTGCAAAAGTTTTTGTCACGGGATTAATTAACTATAAGGACCTTTCACTTGGACGATATTTTATACGTCAAGTTATCAGCGGGGTAACGAGATATTGGTAAGATAAGACTTAATCCAGCAGATTGGGAGTCTTTTGAAAAGTATGGATATCTGTCACAGGGATTTTGACTTTCCACGCATATTTCACGTGGTAAAAGCACACGTTATCTACATATTATATGTAATCGGTATGAATGCTGTGAGATGGGGATCATCAGTCCAGATGTGTGGCACTAATCTTTGTCATGCTCTAACTATACATGTATAAACGGTTCAAGTAGGTCGTAATTACATAAGGTATTCCCGGGAAAAGCAATTAGTGGCCATTTATCAGGTACTGTTTGATTGGCGTAAAAGCACCTGATGCTACAGCTTATAACTCGCACCCATGAACTGCTTTAAAGGCAATTTTCGTTGAGGCGGCCTCATCATTTCTTAGATTGTTCTACTGGTACATCGGCTACGCCTATGTTATCGGCCGCGGCTTACTGGCTACCATTGTGACTTTTCTTTTTGATTTAGAAGGAAGTACGTTTTGGGCTTGAGTATGTGCATTTATGCCCGTCAAGTATGTGTGTGTGTGTGTGTGTGTGTGTGTGTGTGTGTGTGCATGTGCGTGCGCTTGTGTGTGAGCTTCCACGTACGCGTGAGTCAGCGAATTGCCATATCTGGTATGATAGACACATAGTAAGAGCCCCTGACGGCAAACCTCTTCCCTTAAAAAGACAAAACGGACCAAAGCCTTTTTACTGACAATATGAAGGTAACTGACGACCAGATTGCCTCGCGGACCACTATAACAGCTCGTGTAAGTCACACCTTACTCTTTATTTTCAGCGATGCGGAAATTCGTTCAACACACTGGCAGTGCCACAGACACAAGAAATATGCCCCATGCGGCGGTCACAGTTCTGGTATTCGTGTTATGTATCTACAGTGCCAAGGCGGCTCCAGTGGACGATATCTTACCAGAGGATGCCGCAGTTAACAGGTAGGTTAAATCGAATCATTACAAATGGCTGATTGCTTTCCCCCCAGTGTTAATACCCATTGGTCTGACACACCGCTGTGTGTGTGGGGGTTGGGGGGGGGGGNATAATCATAAATCAAATGTATCCCAACGCACTTTCCAGATTATTTTATAAATTCCAGTCGTCCCATCTTATTTATGATTATTGATTCTGTAGCCTTATCATTTAACATAACCTTTAAGGATTGACATTTTCTCACCTACTCTTGGAACATATGCTCGTTTTGAATTTGCCTTGTTTGATTGCAAGAATTCTGACATACAAGACAACGTGGCTTACTTAATCGATGGTACTGAAGACCGATCTTGGCGTACATGGACCTCAATTAACAGTAATTAAACACTGATAATCGTTCTCATTTATGGCAATTAAACTTCGGAAAATTAAGTTATTTTGCTAAATTACCCACTCGGCGTACAAATTAGATAAAAACAGATGTAAATGACGTAGGTTCAGAAGGACATAGGAAAGGGGGGTACACGATGTCTAGATGCTGGGCAACACGCACACAAACACACTCTCACTTGCATTCATGAACAAAAGCGTACTGCCCCCGGGAAGTTTCCCCATGAAAGGGCGTGACAGTAGAAATATCACGCTGGATATAGAAATTCCTGGTGAATTGATTTAATGCGTTGCTTATAGTCGTGAGCTTCAACAGCATAAAGGCACCAAAGCTGACCATAGAACGTTCTTTGAAAATATTTAAATAACACAGTTTTTAATTCTATATATATATTTTTTGCTTTGCAGTAACACCTCCCCGTGGTCGACTACGTCCGGAGACACGGACTATCGCATATCAGTAACCACAGATGAAGACAGGTATCTGATTAGCATAATACTACAGGGAGTTGTGTATTTATCTTTCTTGGCTTATTGCCGAACAGCCTTACTCAATAAATTTGAGGTGAATTTGATTGAAATGTTCAGAATAAGCTAATCTGGGTTTTGATAATGATCCATTCATTGACCAATTAATTAATGATGAGAACTGAGATGCTCCTGATCTCTGTAATACCATTTCTCCCGCCCATTTCCTTTTTACGTGGTGAGTAGTTATCTGTACCATAGGTCACTCGGTATATAAATGTGTGTAAGCCTCATTATCGAAAAGTGAACAACGATTGTTGGTCCTTAATTTAGAAGAAAAACGTCTCTTTCCTTTTATTATCACAGTACAACACGTATTGTAATAACCGGTCGGTGGTTATATGTATATATTTGAATAATTAAAACGTACAAATATATACATATCTGATGTGTGCAAATTTAGAAGACTCAGTTCTAATTAACGGATCACTACAGTATGAGGTAATGAATCTTATTTTGGGGAACGGTTTTGAGTGGTTACTCCTTGGCGATAAAGGGAAAATTGCTGACATTTTCGTGCAAATTAATATTTTCCCCCTATTAAGGTCTATCGCGCGTTGTTTGCCTTAAAATAGTAAGTTTTCCTCTTTTTCTGTGACATCAGTAGTTCCCCCACGCTTCCATTTATTTGGGTAATAGCTGACCTTTTCAGAACCATCCAAGGTGTTGTAATATTGGATTTTACAGACGAAGACACAACATATTCTTATCAAACATTTGGCCAACCCTTATTTAATTTTTCAGAAATGAAGACACCAACACGTCCAGCTTAACGTTACAATATGCAAAGCAGATGGCAAAGGTTCTGGTCAGCGTCTTACAACACCTGGAAAAAGAGAAGTCCACGGGACTGGCGAAAAGGTACTGCGCATGCGTATCACAAAGTCTCCCGGTTGATATGATGTCTGATGCTCAAACACTCGTCTTGTTTTCTCTCAAAGATGCATGAGTAGTGCTATTCTTATTGTCTTCCTTCATACGTTTCGTGATAATCTTAACTATTTGTGACTTCTTTACCACACATAAAACTTGATGCTCATTCCATGGCAACTGTTCTTAAAAATTCAGGATTCTTTCGTAAACTTCAAATGCTTTAAATCATTATAGCATGGGTAGCGTGTTGAATTGAGGGATATTAAAGGGATAATAACTCTTCATATGAGGTCTATATTTCCCAATAAAAACATTGTGAATAACTCATAGAAATATAATATATTCTGTTTTACAACAAAAACAGCAGTTATAGCTATTATTCTGATATCTGAGCTTGTCTTCAGACCACGTGACCTCCATTGATGGCTATACTCTGTTATAATCTCTTAAGAGATTTTAACAAAAAACCAAACTTTTTAGAAAAAAACCAGGGACTAACTTTGAATGTAAAAATGGATTCATTAACCATTGGTAAGTATGGGAAAATTGTTGTTTACTCCAGGAAAATTCATTTTTTGGCCAAAATGAAGAGTTATTATCCCTTTAAAGTCTTGGTGGCGAGTTATTCGCACCTAGCACTCCATGAAAAGAGGTTTGATGGCATTTTCGATACTTCGCCTGCAAAGCCTAATGACTATGTCCAGTTAGAAATCTATATCCATTTACAGATCACACTTTCGACTTTTGTCGTGCCAACATCAATGTCTATGGCGTTTTATTGCCATGATCACATGATCTCTTTTTTGGATGTTTTTTACACCTAGTGGAATAAAAGTGTTTTTTTTTAATCTGTCATTATATCTGACCCAACTCTGCTCCACATATCGCGTGATTTTGCGTTATGTCGCTAGAGTTTGGGCTATCTCGGAAGATCCCGTCTGGTGGCACGAATAGCTCTTCCAGTCTTAAGAATTTCTCGTCTGACCAGTCCCTTAAACGTAACCTCAAAAGACAGGCTATTTTCTCCCCATGCAGGCATTACATATACCACTTGCTTACTTTTTATCTTTGCATGCTTTCAGATCTCATAAAAAATCTCAACTTCTTCCCAATCCCTTTGACCGCATGCGCAGAGGACGACATCAGTAAGTATTTTCTGGGGAACAGCCTCGTTGTCGGGTTCAGTAAATATAGACTGAAATATACAGTACGACAACGACGTTTACCCTTAAATGTCATTGTAAATGTGTGGTCACATTTTATTCTTACCTTTAACAGCCTTGCAAACATCACACGCACTAGACACATTATTTAATTCTGTTTCAGAAACTCCGTATATTCTATACTTCTGTGCACTCAAGGTATTAGGCACCATCTATCAACACCACGTATAATTTTTCCCTAGATATTCATATATTTTTCTCTTTCTAATTTTTACACATTTCTGTCTAGCGAGAACCTGTCTTAAGAACGCATTCAGAACAGCGGACTAACAGATCCGCAGATCAAATATGGCCGACCAACTTGAATGCTTGTTGCATAATCCCCGCAGGGAATTTATTTAGTGTCTAATTGGGAATTAAGCGGCAAGCTTTTTAGTGTGTCGCCATATTTGATCCACGGATCTGTTAGTACGCTGTTCTGAATGCGCTCTTTGCTCAGAATTTCGGACATGAAGTCATTACCCAGTTGGTCTCGTGTGGAACAGCGATAAATGGCCGGTTGCCAAAAATTTGAATTCCTTTCTTTTGATGGGAGGAGGAGGGGGGTGGGGTTAGGTCGGAAATGAAAAAAAAAAGGAAATTGTTTTAAAAAATGGTATCGTGTTTCAGGTTTAAATGCTTATTTCAAATCAAAAGAGGATCTTTTAATGTACTGACACACTGTGTCTGTACAAATAGCCATCCCCTGTGGCTGTCATGGACGTCGCCGTGCACTCTAGACGCATTAAATGGGAAAACCGTGTGATAATACTAAGATACAGGTCATGTCCAAAAATCATCTTTATTATGGATTTTTTCTATGAATTTATTATTTATTATTATTATTATTTTTTTTTTTTTGCTAATATTTCTTCACAATATTTCATCACAAATGGACTTTTAAGGTGTAATTTTCAACATTCAGAATGTCCAAATTAACATTAGTATATAATTGGACTGGTGTTGATTATGCAGTTAAACATCATGAAATTGACATAAAACCCTATTTGTGCACCATCATCGTTACCACAATCAATGGATAATCATATGCCTTATCAACCTCAAACATACGGGAGTGGTTCATAGCGCTATATATAAATACAGGGCAAGTTCGAATAGCAGGTTTATTGATCTATTTATATTATACAAATTTTTTGTGAATTTTTCATTATTCACACATTGGCATTTTCAAGATGATACTATGAACCCCCATGGACCTGAAGCCTATTGCTAGTAACATTTGCAGTGTTTCCACTTTAACATTAGCGCATTACTTAAATCGGTAATGTTTTATGCACGGAAGCATGATGAAATATCGTTTTGCGCACTTTTATCGTTATATTTTCTATCTTGCATCTGTACATTTGACAGCTTTGCTGTCTTGTTTGAGGTTGTTTCTTTTGAACCCTTTCTCTGCTGCGTATGAAGCATGTTTATTGTGAATATTGCAGCACTGGCTTCAATGAAAGCGTAGGCGACAAAATATTGAATATGATGTAAAACAATTAAATTGTTATACAGCGATGGTACATTTTGTAGAGATTTAAGGAAAGCTCTATTGTCAAAAGTTCTGTGTATTTATGGCAAATGTAAGTTAAGGTAAAATGGTTACAATTGAGCGTAAAATTCAGGGCCGTAGCCCCGGGGGGGGGGGGGGGGGGGGGGGGGGGGGGAACCCCCCTTTTTTGCCGAAAAAAGGCCCATTTGGGAAAAAATTG